GATTTCGCTTAGTGGCCCATCCCACCCGAATCCTGCCGGTTTTTATGGTGTTTTTCTGTCACTGACGGATATTTACACTGCCAAAACAATGTCTGCTGCCAATCTTAGTATCAATCCAGTGTCCATCAACACCATAAAAACCCATAAGGCCTTTGCTTCAATCCATCTGGCCCGCTGAAACTCTAAGCTCAGATCCTGAGCCTGGACCCTTCACACCCACCCAGAAATCTCCACTACCCCTCATCAATCTCTCCCCACTCCACATGTCTGTTCATTGTTCTGTGTCTCTCTTGCGTAATAATATTTTATAATATTACTGTTTTTTTTATATAAAAATACATTTGCGTAAGAGAATTCTTTCAAAAACATAAAAAAAAAATATATTACTGATGCCAAACTTTTGAATGGTGGTGTACGTTGCTAAACTATTTGAAAGATAACTGCTAACAATATTGTTACCATAGTATTTGCATACTAAATTGTGAGCGGTCTTTTTATGCATTTATTTGTTTACTGGTTTGTGATTGGTCTTTCAGTTATGCACAAACAAAGGCTAAAAACTATGTTCATTTGAAACTTAAACACTATTTTTGCTGCCTTGCAAACACTGTAATTTTCTGTAATACCGTCTTCTTCTTTGTGAAGTATTTATGTTGTATCTGCCCTAAGTGAATCAGCATATCAGGGCTTTAATTACACACCACACAAATATTATCCTGTTTCTCCTTCCGTGGGACTCCAGCATGCATCAAAAACATCAGTACTACTGTCATGCCAGCTTTAAATGTGTCTTACATGATACAACAATCAAAGCCTCTCTCTCTGCAATGAGTGACCGCATAATGATAGAAGGAAGAGAATGTGTTGTATGTTCATCTATTTATTTATTTATTTATTGTTTTTTTTAAATTTAATATGCATATAGGGTAGCGTAATTTCTCTTTAAAAATTCCTTGCACACTTTTGCACTTCTATGAACTGTTGTCAGAGTAGACGGCATAGCTCTGTTACCTCATTTGCATAATTTTATTTAGTTCAATTCGTTCTTATTCAGTAGGTTGTCATAGACCATCTGATTTTGTGTAATTTTTTGTTTCATTAATTTCTAAGCCTGGTTTTGATTGGTTTCAAATTATATATAACATCTGCTCTGAGGAAGCCCATTCCATGATAAAGACAATCCAAGGTACAATCAATAAACTTTAAAAATAACTTTTCTATGAAGTCATTTTCACAGAACATCTTGAAATCTAGTGAATTATTTTTAGATATACATAAAAGTCTGTTCTTTTCAATTTGCATTGAGCTCAAATGTCTGAAATTCCCTAATATCGTTTTATTGTGGACTCTGAGATCACCATATCCACTGCAAAAACTAATTTTCTTAATTATTTTCTTGTCATGGTCATCTTATAAGCACAATATCTTGATTTCTTGCTTATAGCCAAATTATCTTTATTTCCAGGCAAACTGCAACTGCTTTTATTGATGCCTGTAAGAAGACAGGAAAATGTATGTCAAATATTCCAAAATATTCATAATTAATAAATTTTTTCCCCTGTCTAACTAAGAGTATGTAATCCATTCAGTATGAAAACAGCTTATGGAGATGTTATCGCATTCTTAAATGTCTTTTGCAAGAGATTTTGTGGTTCCCTGGATGGTAAGGATATAATCCAAAATGTTTCCCAAAAAAAAGTAAATAGTCTCAGACTAATTTGATTTTTCAGCCTTTGCCTTTTTTTCCACCATTATCTTATTAGGGTGAGTTCATGGATACTTTGAGTGTTTTTGGTTTCTGAGCTCTTCAGTTCTTGAAGAGTGACTCTTCTGGTAGTCTTTGGTCTAATGAGTTGCACTTTGAGTGACTTTAGTTTTTAAAGGGGTCATCGGATGCTACAAGCACTTTTACAAGTTGTTTGAACTGAATTGTGTGTTGGCAGTGTGTGTACACAACCACCCTATAATGATAAAAATCCACCCAGTGTTTTTTTTTTTATCTCGGTAAATCATTTCCCCTTTCTCAAATCAAGCCGTTCTCAGATTCTTGGCAGTGTGACGTCACACAGACCCAGGCCCCTCCCACAATTGTTGATTGACACTAGCGTTTTACCTTAGCTCCGCCCTGAGTGAGCTGTCATCAGTCCACCATTGTTTCACCGCCGGAGCAGATGTAGACAAGAATGACTCCTAAGGGATTGAGGTTGTGTTTTGTTGTTGGATGTAATAATGAACATAGCAGTCGTCATTTACTCCCGACATCTGAGCCACTGAAGACGCAGAGGATTA